GCCGTCGCGGGCGGCGAGGTCGTCCCCCGTCCCCCCCTTTAGCGGGGCCTGCCCCGTCGCACCGGCCCCAGTGCTGGTGGGGGCGGGTGGGCGCCCGGCCTGGCCGCCCCCGGCTCCCCCGCGGAGGGGCCCTGCCCCCCGCGCCTCTCCCTACTTGCAGGCCCAGCCGCGTCTCCCGCTTGGCCGGCCCATGCGAGGGGGCGACCCCAGGGGGCCGCCTCTGGTGCTTGGGGGCCGCGGCGTTCTGCCGGCTTCCTGCGGCCCGGGAGCCCGCCGGGAGCCGGTTCTTGCTACTGCTGGGTGCCAGCTCGGGCGTCTGTTTCACGGGCGGAGCCTGGGGCTCGGCTCTCCTCCAGACCGAGCCGAGGGCTGTGAGGGTGCGGGAAGCGCACGCTCGCTCGTTTCCAGCTCCGATGTCGCTTTAAATCGTGTGCTTGAAGGTGAGCAGGGCGGTTGATCCCGGCTGCTGCTCCCGTCGCTGTTTTGGATGGAAATACTAGTGTTTTGTGCTTGCGTCTCTGTAAAACGTGAGGCTGACCAGTCGGAGGGCGAACTGGGGAGTCGGGAAAAGTGTCGTTTAGGATGAGAGTCTTTCATGAGCCTATCATAAATTCAGAAACGGAGGAGAAGCAAAGCTAAAGCAACAGTAGCTGAACATAAGTTTGGCTTTGGGGGCTTTATAGCCTACTTTGACTTTTTTCTCTGCTCTGCAGCTTATGTTGTTATTTGTTTATCTAGCTGAACTCTTGCCTGATGGGATGCGGCAGCCTCTCCCTCAGGTAGGATGACAGTGGTTGTTATCTGCTCCTGTTTGGTGACAGAGCAGAGGGGCGAACTGAAGTTTGTCATGTGCAGCCAGTTGGAAGCATCACTTTAACTGTGTGCTTTCCAGGTGTCTTCTGGTCTGTTTTTGTCATCACCGGGTGGGCATGTGTGTTTAAGAAAACTTGCGTTGGTAGGCAGGATTGTAGGGAAACATTTAAAGCCATTCCACAACTTGAGGTGCACAGAATTGGCGCTGATGTTGCATTTGACTCTTAAGTGAATGCAGCTAGAATGAAGTCTTGTTTGGGTTGGGGCAATTTTGGTTTAATCTCAGCTCACTTGAATGTTATGAAAGTTTCAGGACCTAAATCCTCTTGTTACTCACTCTTAGTGTGCTAATTCCCTGCTTTATTAATTGTTTAATTAAAAGGGGTTTTTGTGTTGTTTCCGCACCTTACTAGCTTTCTTTGAGTATTTGTGTACTATGCTGATGTTTTAATTATCCAAGTCTACTTTCCTTATGCTCTGTTTTTTTGTTTTTCTGCGAACTGTTTTTCTGTGAATCTTGATGTGCTCAGCTCTGTTTCTGTTGCACTTTTTAACTGGCCTGTTGACTCTGTGATACCTTATCAATCAGATTTTTTTCAGTGCTCTGTACATGATTTTGATGGATATGAATTAGCCAAGTCATCTGTGTTTACAGTTTAATTTTAAGGACATTACCTCTAACCATGGAGTGAATATTTACTGTTGCAATTCCATATGCATCTGAAACCTGTTAAGTTTCGTTGGGTTTGTCAAGGTTTTCTAGATGATTAGCATACCTACATTGCAGTAACCTTCGGTTGGTGCTCTGTAAGTGGCCAGTGTTTGGCACTGCTTGTGACTTTTTTTGTTTGAGGCTTTGTTTGAGTGGATTTGTTTATGTTTACAATCTGCCTGGGACAGCTGAGATAGAAGGTGATATATCAGGACCAGGATATACTAGGCTGGTATTATAATTATTTATTTCTTCTAGATGAGAGAGAGGCAAGTGCTTTCTGATGTGGACAGCGTAGGGAAAATGAGATGTGCTTTTCTCCTGGATGGATTATTGTCTGTTTCATTTTGAGGCAAGGTCTTGCCCAAGGCACCTTCAAAGTGGAGCACAAAGTAGCCCCAGAATAATAATGAAAGCTGGTCACTTTTAATGTGGCAGAGAGGAAGTAATATAGTCATAAGAGTCATCCACATGTGACCTTACTAGGGCTTTATCTTAAATTTGTGAGGGGTTTCATAAAGCCTCTTTCATTTGCTTCATCCTGTGGTCTGTAGGTGAACTCTGTGGTTGATGAAATAATTGTGTGAAGCTGAGATTAGCCGTGTGATGGTGGTGCTCATCAGTGGGGGGGATTTCAGCAGAGTGGATCCAAGCACTGGATGTACTTGGGCAGCTTCAAACTGTTCTTTGTAAATTGCGGATCATCCCCCCCCCACTACCTTAGCAGGGACAGCCATGTAGGGAGGTGTTTCTGCTGCAGTAGGTAGGGATTACTGCCTTAATAAGATGACAGTCTTGTTATGTTGACATTCTTGCTAAATGCTGACCTTTCTTTAACCTGCTTTCCTGGCGAAGTGTTGAGGAGCTGAAAGCAGAGCAGACTGGCATGTACTTTCTTGCTCCATTTTAGTTGAACTGAGGTACAACAGGACATGGATTAAATGTTTGATTTGTTTAAAAAAATAAATTTTATATGTATATATATTAAAAAAAAGGCAGAGTCTCTACTCTGGACATCTTAGAATTTGAAGTAAGAGCCCTTGGTGCGGACTGAACTATGGAGACTTGAAGGGAGCAAGGATATGGGGTCAGACTGATACAATCCTGCTGCTATGAGTCCTCCTGTTTAGCTGGTACCTGGAAACGTGCTAGCGCACTGGAAGTATGGATTTTTGGCTTGAACCAATATTTTATAATTATCTGCCCTCCAACCCAAGTTCAGCTTTCAAAGAGGCCTTGGAGAAGACGATAACAAATTCATCGCAAGAAGGTTAATGGGTAACTTGTTGATGGCATTAGCTCTCTATCAAATATGCGCAGTCAACAATAATGTGTCTCCTCTAACTAGCACCAGTGCAAGTTTGATTGTAGGAGATGAAGTGTTATCTGGATTACTGATGTATGTTCTTAATGTATGCCAGGGCCATAAACACTGGAAGTAACACTGTTTTCAGTGAGAGTCTGAAAGAGAGATGATGTTTGGGTTTTAAAAATTTTTTTCAGTGAAGTTATATTGCCACAATAGATAGCTAAAACATTAATATTGCAAAGTTCTTATGAGAAGTTTAAGTTGTCCGGAGATGTCTCCTCTCAAGACTGCTAAAGTTAATGGTGAAATCAAGTTACTACTTTGTCAAATGGTTGATGTATCTGTAACAAAACACAGACAGACAATCTGCTAATAGTGGGGTTTTTTTGAAATTTGAGTATTCTTGAGTGTTGCATATCACATTTTCATTTGGGTGGTTTTGTTTTCTATGTCTCAGTAAACTTATTTGTCAAGTAATTTATCATCATCTAAAGTTTAGTTTAGAGACTGATAGCAAAATTGCTTTTCTGATTACAGTTACATGTCAGAAAAGTTCTTGAAATTCACCTTCAGTTTCTGTCAAATATTCTTGTCCAAAATGACACCTGCTAGAAAGGGTGAAAAATAGTTATGCTGTTGTACAAGTCATTTCTGTCTTTTGTGTTTCTGTATTTCACTGTTGCAAAGAATTTAATTGCGTAGGATGGTCAGCAAAGTGTGAAAGAAGAGTTAATTTTTTTGGTTGTGAAAGAGGCACAGTCCTGTCCTGCTCAGTTTCGAGAGATATTGCTAGAGTTAAATGATGTGGTGCTTAATTTTTGTTTGCTCTGTGTTTACTCCATGTCTCATTTAGAAAGACTTTTCTGTCTCTTAGTACGAAATTGCCATTCTAATTGTCCCTGGTCCCAGGCCCGCTGTAATGTATGCCATTCTTTTGGGGGTTGGGTTAGAATTGCTGCACATGGTATTCTGACAGAGATCATGTTAATAATAATGCTATAATTTTCCTGTTTGGCCCCATCCTAATACCTTTGGTTTTGGTAGTAACTGCACATAGATTTGAAGTATCTTCTGAGGTGATTGTAGGTCCGTTCCTTTTGTTCATACAATTAGTTTATATCACAGCATATCTTGGGGAAAAAAATAATTGTTTTGGTTTAATAAAGGTTGAACTTCATTTGCCATCTGACAGGTCATTCACCATTTCAAGGTGGACCCTTCTGAAGATTTTCAGCATTTTACTAAAAGAAAGGCCCTTCTTTTACTTTCCCCTTTACTGAAATTTAAATAGTTGTGATGATTAGTGAGATTATTGTTCCTGCAAAGGTACCTGTTATACCATTTCTGCCTTATTTCAGTTCCTTGTCACTTATGGCTTCAGCCAGTTGACAAATGAAGACACAGAACTTGGTAGGGTGCGCTGTGCTTGAGGCCTCATTTTAAAAAAAGAAAAAGCCTGATTTTCTGTGCCCCAGCCCTTTGGCATGGGAGTTGGTTTTGGTGGGGGAAGTCATGTATCTACCAGCTCAACTGCTTCACGCTAAAACACTTGGATTCTGTGGGTATCTCTGGGGAATACCTGGTGACTTACGGCTTTCTGCTCTCCACTGTGTTTTGGAATCTGTGTTTTCTGGTAGGGCTCATGTGTGTTGCTGGAAGATAATGTGTCCAGAACAGATGAACCTGAATTTTGATGAACTCCCATTTTGCAGAGTCCTACACACAAATCTCTTCTCTCCACATGCATGCCCTTTCTCCTCTTTCCTGGTGTGATCCAGTAAGGCATCAATTCCTCTACAGCTTTGCTGCTTCTGAAATATTGAGACTGTGCCTTTTAGTTGTGTGCTTTTTGATAGGCATGTTAGTCTTCCTTTCTTCTTGATTGACGTTACAGCTGTTGAAGCTCCTTTTGACTTTGCTAGGAATAAATGTCTGTTTTGAAGGCTCTATTTCAGCTTTAATTGTCTTTTGAAGCTTGTTAGGCAGACAGAGAGTGGGCAGAGAGGGGTGGGT